ATGTGGTCCTATGCTACTAAGATTCCTATGAATCTTACCCCATGTTTAATAAAAATTTAAGGCCCTCAATATCACAAGGAAAGGGCAAAGAGATGGTCAATGCATGAAGAAAGTATAGCTACAATGGCACTTTATGATCTTTAGTCATTTCATGCATTTTTGAGGAAGAATATAAATGAATATTTTGTGATGACTTTATATGAGTGCTTTATGCAATTATATGATAGAGTATGTTGTGTAAATCAATTATGTGGTTGATTAATTGGTATGTCAAGCTAGAGAATTAATTGTGGGAAGAATTGACACTTAGGGATAAAAGTCAACTATTTGAGAAGAAGTTTTGACCGATGTTAATTTGAGCTATTGTAGGAGTTAATTCATGAAAATTTTCAAATCAATAGATGTTATTTTTCCCTTTAAAATGAGTGGTAATATGCCTCAAATGGATAATCATGCAAGAAGTTATGCTTATTTAAAGTTAGGCAAAAATACTGAAAAAATTAAAAAGTAATCAAATGAACAGTACTTTTTGAAATTAAATCCGGGCTCGAATTTGAAGAAAATTTGAAATATCCTTCCTTTAACCCCTTAAAGTACGTGTTTGGAAGCGTTACAGTTCAAGCAAATCACGAAACAAGCTGGTAGATTGAAAATTTGTAATTGGTTCTCGAGTTACTGTTCACTGGTTAAATTCTAGATTTTTTGTCTAACTTTGAAAAACCATAATTAATTATAGAAAAATTATATTGAGGTGGTTTAAAATTTTATCTGAAGCTCTTTTAGTTTTGTGTAGGAAAAAAATATAAAAAATAAACTTATTTCTTGTCAATTTGTACAGTTTATTTGTGAAAGTTTACTATTCATTTGGTCAAAACTATACTTTCTAGTTTCTCTTCCTTGACTTTGATCAAGCATAACTCTTAGTACACACATCCATTTTAAGTTATCTACTACTTGTTTTAAAGCTTAGGATGTGTACTTTAATCATATCAAAATTTCATTATCAAAATCAATCATTTATCTTACTTCCACTCTATCAATATTTTGTGACTCATTTAAAGATAACTTATCCCTTTTCTTGCATTAATAAATCATAATTAACTCCATCCATGCATGATACCATTCCATCCATGTATAGGCCATTCCCATACAGCATCATAGACAATTATACAAGCCATCATTATCATTTATCATTACATACCATCAATGACACATTTATAATATACATTGGTATAAAAATTATGCAATTTAATACAATGGATTTCTTCAATTCATTTTCTCTTTCCTTGCTTCCACTTCATGCATCATATACTTGACCATTATCACCTATTATGCTTGGTTAAGGGAGAGTGAGATTCGAGAGAATCTTAGTAGCAAACACTACCATTTATGCATGCAAGATGGATGCAAGTGTATGACATGCTTACTTAATTTAACTCATGCTTACATATAACATATTCTCATGCTCAATGTTTCATATTAACATGCTTGGTCATGAAAACCATCAATGAAACAGAGCATCATACTAGCATTAACATTTCATAACATTATCAAATCACATAATGCATATTAACACATAAATATGCACATAAAGCATATAAGAAAAGTAAGTTCACTACCTTATAACCTTAAACTTTCTTCTTCTCCCTTTTACTTCCAACCATTAAGGTTGTTTGCTCAACCTTTACCATTCATTTTCCTTGATGTCTCATTGCTCTAAATGAATCAACCCATCATTTGTCATTCATTTATTAGAGCCATGATAATCAACAACATCAATACTTTGTTTTCTTTGAACTATATTGACTTCTAACTTTTAAGCTTGATTTCCAACCTTTTTAAAATTAATTTCACATGCTATTCGCACAATTTTTCATGTAGAGTCCATTTCTAAGCTCAAAATCTTGAAAATCAAACTCCTTCCCGGTAAACCAACCTTGACCGAATAGTATGTACTTTAGGGTCTAAAAATTCCATTTTCAATTCTAATACTTCCAAACTTGTCCCGTACAATTTTTCATTTTAAATACATTGAAAGCATCAAAATCATCAAAATCTAATCCTAGTCCCAAGAACTAGCTCTGGCCGAAATATTACTCAAGTTATATAATCATGAAATTCAATCAATTTTAACATAAAACCTTGATTCTTATTCCTTTCAAGCCTTTAAATATTATTCTAACATCAATTTTGTCACACCTCCTTTATTACCTCATTATATAACAATTAAAACCATTCAAAATGCTTGATTTAAGCCCAAAAATTGAAAATTTTTCAAATTTCAATCCAAGTCGGGACTTGGTACTTCCAGGCCGCAACTTGAAGTCATAGAAGCAACCTTTGCTGCTAGGTTGTGACTTGGGATTCCCAGTTCACAACTTAGGATCACAGAGAACCCTTAGGTACTATTCACTGAGCATTTTCCAGATTGCAAGTCCAATTTTGAAAATTCATAACTAATTATAGAAAAATCAAAATGGAATGGTTCCAAGCTTTATAGAAAGCTCTTGACATGCTCTCTAAAGAAAAAAATACTCATTAGTATCCAGATCTCATGCATCGTCCCAGAATTCATTCAATGTGGCATTATTCATTTGGTTATTTTTTAATTTTTCAGAATTCATACCCAACTTTAGAAGGACATAACTTTCTGTGCAAAACTCTAAATCTAGTGAATTACCACTTATTTTAAAGCTAAAAATGAGATCTATAAGCATGCCAAGTTTTAGATCCAGATTCATCTAATTGCTCAAAATCACGTTAGTCAAACTTGACCCTTAAAAAGTTAATTTTTATCCCTTAAGTCACCATTCTTGATTTTTCCTTTCTCTTTCAATTCATATCATTAATCTACTTATAATCCAAAGCTAAAGCAAAGCTTTTAATCAAATATTCACATACACATTTTCATAGGTCATTGATACAATTGTTCAACATAATTCACAATAATCCATAAAAATTACAAACATAGTTCAAAGAGGCACATAAATCAGTTTTCTCCCAAGATGACTTCCTTCCCCTTGTCCTTGCTTGATCCGACTCCTAAGTGGTAAATTTTGAACATAAAAAGTGAGATTTCATAGAAATCTCAGTAGCAGAGAACAATAATCATCATGCAATTCATGCTATGTAAAAATGTGACATGTATATGTAAAATCAATGTCATTATGCATCATTCCATGTGTATACTGTGTGCCATGGAAAAAGAGCAAAGAATCATACCATTAAGCCATTCCTCATACATATTGCCAAAGCATATTCAACATATAATCCCATGCATAATCACATAAATTGCTCAATCACATCATGGCAATTAACACACACACATTTAAACAAGCAAGAAAGCAATCAAATTATAAGTTCAATGCTACCTCTTGGTTGATGAACCAACTCAGCCTCCTTGTGAAAGTTAGGTTCCTTTTGATTCCTTGCAATATGCCTATCAATCTATGCATAAACACATGCCAAATTATCGATAATTCAAGTATAAACACAATTGCTTGAAATTAAGCTCAATTAAACATCTTTTTTCTTGATTTTTGCCTCTTTGTTTCCATCAATCTCTTTGCTCATTTCCACGTAATTTTTCATGTAGAATCTAAATATCAATTTAGATTTAACAAAATCACATTCCTTCCCCTTTAACTAGACTTGGCTGAATAGGGATAGTATATGTTTCAAAAATTTTATTTTTGATTTCAATGATTTCAAACACTTTCCCTTAGTGTTTTCCTACACAAAAACACCTTTTGGACTCATTGGAATCATCAAAACACATCAAAACAAACTCCTATCCCAAGAGTGAGTCATGGTCGAATAGGTGCTATGAAACCCTAGCTTTGATTTCTCCCAAAAATCAATCCAAACATCACTTGAACATGATAATTCTAACTCATTTTTAAAGCTTATATCCTTCCCTAATCCATGCATGTCTTGACCAAAATATGGCAGCAACATCTCCTTGAATTATAATTCAATTATTCAACCAAAACAAGTTTTAATCTCAACCATAATAAAGCTTACACATACGTTGATGAATCCTTGACTAAAGCTTGATGATTCCTTATCCAAAAGCACTAACTAAAATCAATTCCAAAGCTCAAGAGAACACTTGGATAGCATCTCCCTCTTTTGTCAATTTTTACCTATTTTTGTATATTTTAGGCAGGTATTTAAAGAAAAATTTTCTGCCTATACCTTACAAGGGATCACCCTCTCGGCTTAGCGTCTTCCCTTTTAGGCTTGGTCTTCCTCCAATTGAAATTCCATTTAATAATGATGTTCTCATTTAATTTAATATACCTAGATTCTAATCAAAGTATTATTCAAATCTCATTAATTAAATATATTCATATATCATAATGTCATACCTGACCAATTTTCAAACGAATTAGGTATTACAAGTTTTCAAGAATTTAGTTGATTTTTGCAAGGGAGAGATGATTTCAAGCAAGAAGGCCCCACAAAAGAGTGTGTAGGTTATTATAACATCAATGTTGTCAAACTTGACTGAACTGATAATTGTAGAAGTTTTTTTCCGTGCTGTAAAAAAAGAAAAGGGAGAGGGCTACCACCATAGAGCCAAGAGCTACCAAATGAACAAGGCATCCTACTTTTCTATGCCAAACAGTTGAGGCCTTAGTGTAATGCCATTCATAAACATATTTAGGCCTAAGCTCCACTTGAAGAAGAATGAATCGTTCTGTCGTTGGGTCTTCAATAACAATAAGCAGATGGAAATGTCAAAGCTTCAGTTCAACATCTGGGTTAGGGCTGCTGGCAATGTACAATGCCTGAGTCCTCTCAAAGCATTTGATGAATTACAAACAAAAACCAGAATCATGGGAGCCCATAGTGTGTTTTGTGGAAGAGTGAGAACAAACACATAAGCCGCCACCCCTACCGAGAACAACAACCCAGGTATTTTCCTGAGCCATAGTTGATTGTCCTCCAAGGAAAAAACAGTGATTGTGTCCGAAGTGTACTAGAACAAATGGGGCCTACAGAGCCCTCAAGATTTTCTTGTTGCCGCCATTGTTGTTGCCACCTGCATTGTTGGTGATGAGTCCCACGGTGAAGTTGGCAGCCCAATTAGCAAGCATGTACGCAGTCCAAATGAGGAATTGGAGCAGCAAGCTATCTAAGCGTGGCCTGAAGGGAGCAAATAAGACCAAAAACACTTGAACCAAGAAGCTAAACATGATGGCTCCTCGGACATTCCAAATGTCCCATATGTGTTCCACTCTTTCAAGGATGATTGTCACCATCTCTCTCACTTCTTTACTTTTGGCTTTCAACAAGGCAACAATAAACTTGCAGAAGCCAGTAAAATGACACACAAATATGGAGCCAATTTCGGTACTTATCGCTTCAATGAACACATGACACCTATATATGGAGCCCTTTGCATTTCGTGGCATATTTGATACTAATCTTGTGAGGCTTACAAACAAATAAAATAATGTGTTACTTAGGACCTAAGGTGACTAACATCCCAACTTAAAGTTGTTGTGTCTCCCTAGTTTCAGATATCATAAATTAATGACCAAAGTACACATCTAGTCGTATAACTTTATATAATTTGTCGTTTTGATCATCTAATTTTATGAAGTGTTTTTTTTTTAAAATTCATTTTAACACCATTAGTTTTATATGACAATTTTTTTACCAGTCATTATTATTTGGAAAAAAATAAAATTCCAGAATATTTTGTCAATTTTTAAAATTTCAATATTTGCATTTTTTGCTGAAAAAATTAATGATGTAAAGGTTAGAGGAGTGAAAGATCGGAACTAAAATAACTAAAACCCTCTGTCAAAATTAAAGTGAAATGTCTCCGTTTAATCTGCAGGTGGCACTTATAAAGCGTGGCTAAAAAATAAGTTTGAAATGAAAATCATATAGAGCCTTTACTTTGGGCATATCAGTTTTCGGTACAAAAATTAAATAAAATTAAATTTAAAAAAGGTGCATGTATGAAATAATTCCGGTGTTTTTATATATAAATAAAATATAAACTCCGGCATAGCAATTATAATAATATAATAAATATTACAACTATTCAATTGTCAAAGAGCTAAAAGCAACAATATTCCCCATAGCACTGGGGAGAATAATTTTTTTAAGGGAAACCATATTGAAGGTACCTATACTTTCTCTCAATTTTTAATTGGTACCTATGTGTTTTTTCCCTTTAATTAAACATTTAATTTTATCTTTTTAGCAACATTAGCTCTTATAACTTTGTTCTATTGATATTTTTAGTCTCTACATAGGGATTAATGATGTTAATAGAGGAAAAATAAAGATTTAGTTAAGAACAAAAAACACATAGGTACCAAATTGAAAATTGAAAAAAGTATAAGTACCTCCAATATGGTTTTCCCTTTTTTTAATCACGTGTACTTCCTGGTGAGCAAAGTGAAAAACATTTGTGATGCCAATCTTCAAATAAAGTATAATTTGAACTGACGAATCAATAAACAGAGAGATCCGAAAGGAAGATTTATTACTTTACTCGACTGAATAGAATATACATTTCTTTCTCAAAACTGCAAAAATTAAAGTTAATTTTCTTTACAAAATTCTATATTCTCTCAATCTTCATGAAAGAGGGATTTAAAGTTAATTTTCCTTATTTCTTGATTTATTAAAATCAATAAAATAAACTACCACCATGCCTATAATTTCGATTTACTCATGTCTAGGGAGCAACGAATCCTTACAAAATTATTAAGAAATTGATTCATCTATACAAATTTTCTTTTTAACTTCATACCAATAACTAAGATTTACTATGTAAATATTTGACGGTTAAATTATCTTAGGAATAACAGTTAAAAAGTTCCATTAATGAATGATAAAGTATATGTTTAGTTCACTAAATTTATATAAACTTTTTAGTTTCTCAAACTTATAAAGTATATTTTCAATCTCTTAATGCTAACACATTTAATTTTATTAACGAAAAATATTGACTCAACAAATTTGAATGCAACTCTGTAATAAATTGCTAATATATCAATTTTTAATTTAACTTTTATAAATTAAAAAATATTTAAAATAAAATCTATTGGAGATATATGTGCCTGCAATGTCAACAACTCACCTTTCAAAATATCAAAATAAAATATTAGAAAAAAATTTCAAATAGTCCCCACTATACGGCCAATTAACTTTCATTCGTCCACAAACACATGTAGAAATTTTACCACACATCAAGAACCAAAATGAAATTTAATGTTGTTGGTGAAAAGACGTTGATTGCCATTACTTTTTTTTTTAAATGATAGCAGCTATATTGCTATAATTTTAAATTTTTGAAACAATATTAGACCCAAAAAAATAACTTCCGAGTACTTGATGTTTCTGAGTAAAGCCTTTAAGAATAAATTTGCATTTCAACCTTATATGTGTGTGTTTGTGTAGGCGTGCTGATTTTTCAAGCACCCTTGCACTATTATTTTAAAACATGATAATTTTTTTGAAAAAAAGGTAACTAGATACTCATTTCTTAAATTTAGTGCTGAGTTTAAACTCTACAGGTCTTAAATATTTTTTTTAAAAGGTGCAACCAACACCCTCATATCTAGTATGTTAATTTTTTATAATGCATCTAACATTTTGATATTATTTTCCTATTACATTCAAAATGCTTATTTTACTACTGACCTTGCACGTTTTAATTCGAAACAATGAAACCAATACTAAGCAACTGAAAAGAAAAGGTTGCTGTAAAATGTGGACCTTTGAGTATATATTTTGTGATAGAACAATTTCGTGGATTATAATCTTTTTTTCTCCACTAGTATAAGCTGAACATGGATGTAGAAGAAGAATAAACCTTGAGATTTTATGTGAAAAAAATTTATGTAATGACAGAGCCCATAGGTAAGAAAACAAATTAAAGAAAAATCAACAGTGACGAGACACCTGGATGCTCTAAAGAAGAAAGAGGAAACCCAAATATTCAAATTAACAATAAGTTCAGAATATCAATCCAGCTGCATATGCAAATTTACTTAAGGGTCGCTCTTATTGTAAGCATCACTCCAAGACTCACGATTACATGAGAAAATTGTGAACATACCTATTTATGCTTTTACCTTGCGCGTAAGAACAACAAAAAACAAATGGAACTTAAGCTTGGGAACATCCATGATTTCTGGGAATTCTCTAACTTTGTCAGTGAAACGCTCAAAAAGTTCATCAACAATTCCCACTCCAAAGTGATTCTCAATCAGTACTTCCAGCACAGCTCGTAATCGAGAAACAAAAGATTCAATGTTTGGTACGACAAAGCAGTTGTTATCCAGTACCTCTGATTGTTCTATGCTGAAATCTTCATTAGTTTCAAGTACTTTCATCAAATCCTTCACATGTGGGTAAAATACAGGAACATTAAAAGTGTTCACTTTTTCTTCTTGAATCAATCCCTGCAATGACAAGAAAATTATTAGTATCGTAATAATAGTTAGTTAAAGGAGATATTTTGGGAAAACCAACATTTTTATAATAAAATAATTAATTTTAACTAATTTTTTAATATTTATAAATTAGTTATGTAATTCTTACATTTAGGACCAAGTGAGATACTATTTACAATCCATAAGCAATATAGTTTATTTCTCAAAGTTAATGTACCAAGTAAATCAGAGTCTCGTTACTTACCGATTTGGCCATGTCCGTTAGACAGCTTGCCAATAGCTCAAAATCTTTCCCAAGATACAAGTCCACTTTAAAATCAATATCATTAACTACATTCATCAAACAAGCCATGATCCCATTGTCTACAAGCTCTTGTGCTCTGGCTTGTAGAAATGCCTCCCAATCCATCTTAAATTGTCTCTGATAAGCATCATAAACTTCACTTGGGGCATTAGTATAGAAAATCCTCCCCTTGTTCAAAGCACCACAACTTCTATCTGTAAGTTCCTTGGGCAACTCAGATAGCCAAGACAATGCTGCAGAAGTGTGAACTAAATGCAGGCTTTGTTTTGGAAATAAACGTCCATAGAAAGAGCCAGGAATTCCAGCTGCAAAATAGTTTCTATTGGGAGGAAGGTTTTGAAAGAGAGTGTTGAAATCGTTTGATGCTTGATCATTGAAGAAGACTAGGACTTCTGGAGCAGATTGATTTTGAGATTGGCATTTGAGTTGTATTGCTTCTGTTATGTTTTGAATTGCAATGAAGGTGTTTGGCCCGGTGGAGCAACCCAAGTCAGCTATGCAGATTAGGTTATTAGAAGAAGCAGAAATGGCTTTAAAATCAAACTTTTTGGTAACGGCATTTTGGAGATGGTGCTTGGCTGCTTCAATTGCTGATTTCTGCATGTATTATATGATTATATGTACTTGCATTTCTTATAGTATTTGGCCAAAGGAAAAAAAGGATAATAGATCAAATAATACAAAAAAAACAGTGAATTAGTGATGAAATTTGAAAATTTCTTAGAAGAAAAAAAATTTGCGCTTGTTGCTGATGGTAAGCGTCATTATATATGAGCTTAAATATTTGTTTGAATTACGATAATAAACTTAATAGAAACAATGATAGATGACTAAAAGAGAGAGAGAGAGAGAGAAATGTGTGATTACTTTAATAGAAAGAAAATATGTACTCAAAAGTGACCGTTTATATATCAATCACGAAATTGGAAAAAAATCCATAATATCTTTTATACCGAAATTCCTTGCAATTAATATAACTTGTAAGAATCTCATTTTTTACATTTTTCCCTATGAAAATTTATTTGTAAAGTAGGTAGTATCATCGGCTGGACCCCCAAAAAAAAAAAAGAAATATTATGATCAAATACCTGACCGGTTGAGTTTTGAGCATAGCTATGAGGACCTTCTCCTCCTTTCATCACATAAGATTTAGGAAACACACAGTCAGATTCATTCTCCATCTAATTTCTCTTCTATTTCTCTGCATTGTTCAAATATGTATATTAAACTTATATAGTAACACACACACATATGTAACAAAAAGGAAAAAGAAAGTAAATAAATGGATATCGACAACTTGCCCTTGATTCTATGTAAAATATTAAAGTAAGAAGAATTTGTTGGCGAGATGGAAGGGTAGAGTTAGAAATTAAGGATTGAAGTAGAGAGAAAAGGTGATCGGAACTCATATATATAACTAGAAATTACACAATCCAATATATATTTGCTTAGATTTGAAATCTCATTAACAACACTTTTCATTAATTCAGTATATTCAAATTTCAATTAAAATATCATTTAAATATCATTAATTGAATATACTCGGATTTTATAAAATTATACTTGACATATTTTTAAACGAATCGGGTACTATAAGATTTTAAGAATATAATTGATAATTGATGATTGGAGCCATAGATAGATGAGGAGGAGGAGCCACTTGATACAACTCTTAACTTGCACTCCACAGTACTCCATCCGTCCCATTTTATAAGCAACAACTTTCATCTCTTTCTTGTTCCTAAATATAAGTAACATTTACAAGTTGTATTAAATTTTTACAGCAAATTTTTTATTTTACCCCCATTAGTTACTTATTTTAATACTCAATATATTTATTATCTCATTTCCTAAATCATCATCTCTCCATCACACATTATCTCTCTTCCATAATTCTCTTTATTATAATAATTTTCTTATTTTCCCTCTTATACTCTTTCTCCCCTATAAATAAGGGCATTTTAGTAAAAGAATTTATAATTTTTACGTATTTATTGTATTTAACTAATTTTAACTAACATTTTGATCTACGTAATGAGTTTTAATGTTATTTATAATATGGGATGGAGGGAGTATTTAATAAATTAATTTATAGTTGGCCAAAAAAAAAAAAGGTTCCTTGATAATTCTCATCATTAACACGCCTACATATATTATTCTTCCTAAATCGTTTTAATTCGTTCGTTATTTAATAATTTTGCACACATACTTATAAAGGATTAAGCTAAATCTAGCATTCTAGCTAGAGGTTTTTCTTTCCTCATTTGCAAAGAGAAATTTTACTTTTTACTTCCCAAATACTCAGTTAAATAAGGCCTCCCCAAATAATTAGTTAAATAAGACATGTGAATTGAAGGTTGATGTGCATTTATTACTTTAAAGTATTCTTCTTTTCCCAACAGCACTCAACATCTGTTTTAGTGCAATTTTACTCTTAAATCATTTCTTGAGTTAATCTTTTGAATAATCTCTTTTTATATTTTCAATACTCATCTTCATAGTTTTAATAATCATTTTCAACATATTTAATGAACAGTTTCTCAATTTTTTCTGTAGTCATCTTAAATGTTTTCGAGACTTATCTTCTATATTTTCAATCTTAATTTTTAATTATTTTTTCAATACTAAAAGCATGGAAGACAAGTACCGAAAACATTTAAAATTACTATTAAAAACATTTTAAAAAAGGAAAATATTCCCAGTGCTCATTTTAAAAGCTTTTAGCATTTAATTTTTTATGTTTTTTGTACTGAAAATAATTAATAATCATAATTAAAATTATGGAAGATAAGTCCAGAAAATATATAAGATGGACGTTGAAGAATGTGGAAAAAAAATGTTAAAGATGATATTAAAAAAAATGAAAGACGGGCACCAAAAATATAAAAAGAGAGCGATTAAAAAAATTAAAATTTTAACTCAGGAAATATATTAAGGCCAAATTGCACCCAAAAAATTACTTTTGAAACATTGAAAACTAAATTTATGGGTCTTCATCCAATGCTTATCAGATCGTGCATGCATGTGTGGTGAAATCTCAACGACTCCAAATTTCATAATTTCATCCAAGACCCGACACCAACAAGTGACAATCGAAAATCCCATGGCTTCAACAGCAAACACGCAAGTGTGTGCGTGCGTGTGTGTGTGTGTGTGTGTGTGTAAACTGCTGTTATGAACTTATTATAAGCATCCTCTACTCTCCATTACTCTTAATCTGCAGAAAGTTTCCACATGCACTAACTGATTCACACACGAATCATCATCGATCAGCTTTCTGATCTCACTCATCAACTGAATTAACTAACCAGATCAGATGAAGGAAATGAAGATGGGAGAAGGTTTAAGAGACTGACCTTAGTCCAAGATCAGCGTTGCATGTAGCGCGCGGAGCTCTCTTCCTCTCCTCCGCCTTACTCTGTTTCTGTCTTCCTTGCTCTGTTCTGCATCGAATGGGAGAGGGGCTGAAGGGGGTCAATGACTCTGGTTTTATTGAAGCCAAAGGACCGTTCTATCCTTCACTTAATCTTTGTTTGCAACTTCGTCCCTTGTTAAGCAGTCCTAACAAAAACGTTTCCTTCTTTGAAAATCTCCTCTCTTTCCCGAAATATTCTTGCATTTCGAACTTCTTGCCATGTTTTCGTTAGGATTGCTTGACAAACGTTTTTGTGATTTCAATTTCCAAAGTTAATAACCATCTCATATTTTTGGATTCACTTTTTCAACAGGAAACGTGACATACGTTTGGCTTCAACACATGTTTGGATCACTTTTGTTTTTTTGAGATTAGCTTTTGGTAAAATGCCATTTCAATGTTGAAGTAAATCTAAGGTGCTTGTCACTAACGCATCGTGCAGAGAGAAAAGATGATAATAGGAAAAAGACAAAATTATCCCTACCAAATTTAATTATTTGTTATTTTCCTAGTCTTATTTATGAAACACTTTCGGCATGTTTTATACAAACAAACAAAAATATTAAACTATATTAACTCTTCACTAAAATATAATAATTTGATATTGAGATTGGTATTTGAGTTGTATTGCTTCTATTATATTGTGTGTTGCAATGAATATGTTTGGCCCAGTGGAACAGCCAAAGTCTGCTATGCGAATTTGGTTTGCTGGAGAAACACAAATTGTTTTCAGGTCAAAGTTATCAGTTGCTGTACTTTGGAGAAGCTTTTTGGCTACTTCAATTGCTGATCTCTGCAGATATCATGTGGTTTATTAGTTAATTTGGTTAAAAAGCAAATTTGCCAAGAAGTTTCTATTCAAGAGCAATATTGTTCTAGACGTGTCATTTTCAAATAAATTATAGTTATTTTTAATTAATATATATGCTACTTCTTGTTATGCATTAGGAAAAGACACATTGTTAATATCAAATTTAGACTTGTCATTTTTTTAGTAAAGACGTGTCATTTTCAAATAAATTATGGTCATTTTTAATTAATATACATGCTATTTCTTGTTATGTATCAAGAAAAGTTGTTTTGTTAATATCAAATTTAGACTTGTTATCTCTCAATTAAGACTTGTCATCCTCAGGTAAATTGTTGTCATGGGTTGGAGTCACAGTAAAAAAGTCAACTTATATTTTTGTTTGCATTATAAGATTGAGAAGTTTTTGATGGCTTAATGGTCTTTTTCTTTTTTTTGTTAGCCCAAATGGCCAAGGGGTTGTGGGATCAAATCATATCCCCACCACTTCTTGCAATATTCTTCCGTGCAAAAAAAAAAATGTCACAAAAAACCACCTACGACTAGTCACCGGTGGTGGTTGCCCGCCACCGACCACCAGTGAGGGGCTGAGCTTTTTTTACAAAAAAAAAAAAAGAAAAGAAAGAACAAATGGCATTTTTGTTATTTTACTAAATTTTAAAATTTCAATTTGGGAAGGACTTCCCTCTTTGTCATTACATTTCCTTAACTTTCCAAATTAGAATATCATATATTCCGCCTTCTTTATCTGTCATTTTCCCATAAGAAATTGTTAGGATAATTAATTATATTTTTTCACTTTGCCCTATTAATTACAACAGAGTGTTTTAAATATAGGAGAAAGAAGAGAGAGATGAAAGATAATAAAAAAATGTATTTTTTTAAAAAAAGTATACTTTATTACTTTCTAATCACATTCTTTAATCTTAAAATACAGGAATTTTATTATTTTAGGACATATTTAATAACTTAACTACCAATTTTTTATTTACGAAAAATTTTAACTAACTTCTTATATTTTGGAGTCTGCACCAGAGGGAGGATATAGATGAGGAGACACATCTAATACAACTCTTAGCTTTCACGTAACATATTTAATATCAATCTATACTTATTATTTGTTACTTGTAATAGTTTCTCACATGTACTAATGTACTAATGGGAGCATTAAATAGATAAGGACAAAGATTGGGTCCAGTTAATTAGATCAAGCTGGTCCGGTTAACTAATTAGCTTCTGCCACATATTAATTGGACGCATCGTCACTTAACACCGTTAATGGCTTCTCCTTATATGCCAATGCTGTCCCCTCCGCCCGCCTCCACCTTTCCCCTCCATTTTCATCCCCAAATCCTAATTAATTTCCACTGAATCTCTATACGCTCACAGATTCAACACAACAAATTCTTACGCAACAACCTAAGAAGCTTCTAAATTAACATCTTCAACAACGAAGACCATGTCGATATAGAAGGGACTAACTAATTAATTTATATTTAACACCATAACTCCTTCGGATTGGAAGGGAATATTAGCCAGGACCAGGAGGGGATGAGGCTTCGTCAATCATCATTCATCAGGCCACTTGTCTTCATGCTGAATGTTAGACCCTCTCCCATCGAAGAAGCAAGCATTGAGTTGTAGAATAGACATTGCTTCTACTTCCTATCTAACCCCTCGAAGTCAACTCTAGCGCCATCGAGGCATGTGGTGATGATGGAGAGCAGCCTAAAGCGCATCAACTCTAGCACCAATCTGTGTGCTTTCTTCCTAATTGAAGCCGCTGCTGGTGCCGCTGCCTGCTAAAAAGGTCAAGTAAATTAAGGCAGGTCAATGGTTCCTTGAGATACAAAATGATAGTACCATAAACCCTTGTATCTTCTCCCTCCATCAAGTTCAACAATCCCTCTTTTCCTGGTTGGCATCTCTCTACCTCTCACTCTGCCTTCTGATATTTCACCATCCATCTCTCTCTTAGCTAATTTAGCCATTTGACTTTGGACATTTATAGATATAAAACAATCGACTGCATTTCCTTAGTCTAAGATTGACTTCGAGGCAATTTCACCGCCTCCTCGCACAATCGGTCGATCCTCATTAACGGGGTTAGTTGGTGTTAAACGATCATGTGTCCAGTTAATATATGTGGCAGAAGCTAATTGGTTAATTGGACCAACTTGACCTAATTAACTCGATCTAAGTTTTGTTCAATAGATAAAACCTTTCACTTTTATGCTTACTAATAATAATATTAAATACTAATATATTTTCTCTCACTATTCCTCTCTCTCTTCACTTTCATTATAATTGATAAAAATAAAACATTAAAAGAAGTACAAATGACAAATAAAAAGGACCAAAATCCCTTCCTAGCACTAGAGTGTTAGATTCATTTTTAATTCTCATCATTTAATACACCTACATTTATTATCTATCCTTGATCACTTCAATATCTGATTATTTAATAATACTCCTTCAAGTTGTTTTTATAAAATACAAATAATCAAATTGTGTTTTTACAAACTTCAAATTTACTTTCAGCTCAACTAATAATGATAATAATAAGATGGACACAAACATAATAAAAATCACTTCATAATGAATGAAAAGAGAAGTACATTACCACAAAATTATATAACAAACTCTAAAAACATTAGACAATATATGTCACCTTCACAGTCTCACTACCATTCATGATAATTATTAAGTCCAACAAGGGAATAAAAGCAGCATTGCATTATCATCATAATTAAGCTCATCATCATCATGAGAGAATAACTAATATCTTAATCATCTATGTCTATGCTCACACCTTGCGCTTGAGAACAACAAAAAGCATAACAAGTTTGAGCTTCTGGGGATACATCATGAGTTGTGGGGATTTCATAAGTTTCTGAGCAAAGCGATCAAAAAGTTCATCAACAATTCCATCACCAAAGTGCTTCTCAATTAACACTTCGAAAGCAGCTCGGCATTGAGAAACATGTCTGCCCAAGTTTGGCTCAATTATCAAGTTATTGCCATCTAATAGATCCATTTTCTCTACACTCAAATCTTCATTACTCTCAAGCATTTTCTTCAGATCCTTCAGCCGTGGAAAATATGTGGGCACATTAAAAGTGTCCACTTTTTCTTCACTTATAAGTCCCTACAATCACGAAATTGAAGGGGTAAAAAAACTATTAGCAAATTCTTGACGGGAAAATTGCTGAAAAGTCTTCCAGTGCAAAATTTACTGTCCAAAGTACACATAAGTCTTAGGTCCTTATGTGAGTGTAATCACTTTTTAGTTGTATGTAACATATTGTTAGCTATATACAAATATGTTTCTTTTTACGCATAATTAAAGACAGATTGCGTATAACTTAAAAAAAAAAGCCACTTGCTTGCACCTTGGTCCGTAAAAACATTTCATATATTTGGCATAATAAACTTTTTGCAACGAGGGGTATTAAGCAATTCTCTCAATCTTAAGTTTCGTAGTCATGCTTGACTCTATCAAATTCTTATCAGTTATTTGCTAATAGTACCTTTGATTCTAAGCGTAGGAACTAAATAATTAATTTATAGATATTAAAAAAATTAGTTTAAAAAAACAAAAACAAAACAAATTGCTCACCAGTTTCGCCATGTCCATGAGACAGCTTCCCAAAACTTCATAATCTTTTCCACCATACAAGTCCACACTAAAATCAATCACGTCATGAGCAGCAGGTATCAGAAGTATCATTATCCCATTGCCCACCAGTTCTTGTGCTCTGGCTTGTAAAAAGGTCGCCAAATCCATCTTAAACTGTCCCTTATAAGCATCTTCAACTTCTTTTGGAGCATTAGTATAGAAAATCCTTCCCTTATTCCAAGCACCACAGTTTCTATCAGTAAGCTCTTTGGGCATCTTAGATAACCAGGACAATGATGAAGATGAGTGAACTAAATGCAGGCTTTGACTTGGAAATAAACGTCCATAGAAAGAGCCAGGAACTCCAGCTGCAAAGTAGTTTCTATTGGGAGGAAGTTTCTGAAAGAGAGTGTTGAAATCATTTGACGCTTGATCATTGAAGAAAACCAAGAATTCTGGGGTGCTTTGATTTTGAGATTGAGATTGGTATTTGAGTTGTACTGCTTCTATTATGTTTTGTGCTGCAATGAAGGTGTTTGGCCCAGTGGAACAACCAAAGTCTGCTATGCGAATTTGGTTTTCAGGAGAACCACAAGTTGTTTTCAAGTCAAAGTGATCAGTTACTGCACTTTGGAGAAGCTTTTTGGCTGCTTCAATTGCTGATCTCTGCAGATATCATGGGGTTTATTAGCTAAATGGGTTAAAAAGCAAATTTGCCAAGAAGTTTCTACTCAAGAGCAATGTTGTCCCAGAAGTTTTGTTGGGTTCAAAGTTGTCATGGAAGTGTTAAAATGGAGTAAATTTATCTCTTACCATTAAAAATATTAATATTTTAACCGTCAGTATTAATTTTTTAATAGGGTGGAGCAACATTATTATATTTTGAAACTTTCAGGATAATATTGAACCCAAATAGACTTCCAAGAGAACATTAGTCCTGAACAAAAACTTTTAGAATAAATTTGCATCTTAATTTATAGTTAAATCTCAGGATAAGGTTCAATTTTGCCCTGAAAGTTTTCGCTTAAGAGCTATGGATATCTGAAAGTTTTCTTAGTAGCAATGTCACCCGAGAAGTATAAAACGCAATCTCACCCCACCTCTTAGAAAAGTTAATTTTTACTGTTAGTGTAACTTATATGGCACACTCAGCACAGCCGTATCAACATCATTTTAGCCATATCAGTACCTGAATCATTTCCTTCCTCTCTCTCTTCCTCGCCATCATCACTGCCGTTTTCTTCTTCTTCAAAGACAACCTCCTTCACCCTTCCTCTTCCAATCCCCAAAGCTTTCTCCTTCTCTGACCACCTTCCCTCACCTCCACCACCGTCCTCCTCATCTCCTCCCTCGATACTCCTCTCTTTTTTTTCTCCAAATGAAAAGTTGACATATCAGACATCTATTTTCTTCCAATTCCAACTCAAACAGGATCCCTATTTTTTCAGTGATATAATCTTTGGTTCCCAATGTTTCGAAGAAAAGATATTTTCATATGCCGAGTTATCATTATGAGCTTCTTCAAATGTGAGTATATGAGTTCACAGGAATCTCTTTTTCCTTGAAAGAGTGGTTTTGTTACTGCATTATTCATGGTTTTAATTCTAGAACCAAGATAATAAAATGCTAAAATCCAGTTGTTAAGATATTGACTAGAAGCATTGGAGAAGGAGCACTACTGATTACTCTGTTAATTCTAGAACCGAAATAATAAAATGCTAAATTCAACTTTCAGCATTGGAGAAGAAGACGAAACTCCAATGGACAGGGTAGTTATAACCTGGCATATTGAGTGCAATCTAAGAGTGCTATGTGTGTTTTAACAGTCAAAATTAACATTGGGATAACATTGATAGGATTTAAAAACTTCCCAGATAACATTGCTGCTAAAACAATTTTCGGATACCCACAGCTCCTAGGCAAAAATTTCTGAGGCAAAATTAGACATTTAAGTAGAGAAGATTATTCATCAAATCAAAAATTAAAATTAAAGATTTCAGGAGACAAAAATGGAATTAAGAGAGAAGATTAAAGATTAATTAAATGCCTGGAAGGTTGAGTTTTGAGCATAGCTGTGAGGACCCTCCCCTCCTTTCATGGCACATGATTCAGGAAAAGCATTGCTGAATTCGCTCTCCATATCTCTCTTCGACATCTGCATGATTCAAATCTGTATCAGATCCAGAAACATATGAATGTAACCAAAAGAAAAAGAAGATGAAGATGAAGACAAAGACGAAGAAGAAAGAAAATAAACAAGTAATTGGAGAGACAGAGTACTTGCCTTCAAGTTCGTATGAATGAGAGGAAGTAAGGAAATGTGAAAGATATACTTCCTCGGAAAGATATACTTCCTTGGGTCCTTAGTATGGGATTCCTCTTAGTTAGAAGGCTTTGGTAATTTTCATTTGACATTCATTAGCTTTAAAGAGTATTAAATATTCTTTAGTGCTCATATTAAATATTCTTTTTCATACGCCATATTCAATAAGAGTAATGAAAGAGGAAGTAAAACGTAGAATCATGTTGAAATTTAGCATAAAAATCACTTAAATTTTATGACAAATTTAATTTGTTTCTGAAAACAGCAAGAGTATAAACAATACTCTCTTTGATTCTTTTTATAAAATTCTAAAATTTGAATTTATTTGGTCCTTTTATGAGATTCTATTTACAAATATATGAACATAAAACACGTTTCTATAAATTTTTCCACTAATTAATCTTCTATTTTGTTTTACTATCTTTTTTTATACTACATCCTCTTTTATTATTTATCTTATTATTAAAATTTTATTTCTCATTTACTCTCCTATTAGTTTTCAAATAATTTTAATTATTTTCTTAAAATGTTTTTAAAAAGATCTAATAAAAAGGACAAGACTTCAAAGGGATTAATGTTGCCGTGCATTTAATGTGCAGAGCTACAAATAAACTAAGGCATTGAATGGCGTTGGCCCTGGAGTTCCCGGTCCTCGCTTCCCCACCGTGCACTGACCTGCCCTGTGCCTCCTTCTAGTACGATCGTTTTATTGATAATTACTCCATGTCGTACTTATACGTGTATTTGTATTTATAAGACAATTTCAACAAACTTAAAATTTTAAACTGTACTAATTTTTTTTAAATATAATAACTTCTCAATTTGATTCGTATTTAATATATATATTTTTTAAAAATAATCATCTACACTATAATAAATAAAAATAAAATATTATATTCACACTAAAAATTTAATGAGGTAATTTATAAATTAAAAAAAAATCTTCCGGTGCCTTATAAATAGATCAAAAGAGTAGTATAAATTAAGAAGATGTTTTGATGAAACTAAATCATAATTTTAAAAATGATTTTACAATATACAAAATAAGTACATGAAAAAAATTTTGTCTCGACTTACATAAAAATATTTTTTTTACCCGTTTTTTGGATAAACCAAACACCCTTTTATAAGTATGTTGGGTGCCTTTATTTTTTAGCTATTTTCTAAATCATCTGTCATGTTTGTATTTTTTTAATTTTAAATTTATAAGTCACTTTTAACATATTTCATATAAATAAAAAAATAAAATTTTATTAATTTTGCTTTAAAATTCAACAACTCTTAAACATTATTCTTATTTAATATATATTATATATCATAAAAGCAAAGTCAACACAATAATAAATACAATGTAAGATTGTGTATTTATATAAAAAAATTTCTCCCTCTACTATATAAATAGGACAAAAAAAATCCCTTCTCTCCACATTATAAATAAAATTAAAAGAGTATATGCTCACTTTAATTTATAATATAAAAGTTAGACTATTAATTTGAAGATAATAAAAAAATTACTTAGATTAGTTATTTATAACAATTGTATACCACTCTAGTTATTAATATAAGTCTCTTTTTATACTACATCCTCTTTCATTATTTATTTTATTATTAGTATTTTTATTTCTCATTTATTCTCTTATTAAATAAAGACATATAAAAAAATTCAACTTTTACTTGTTTTTAAATAATTTTAATTATTTTCTTAAAATGTTTTTAAAGAGATCTAATAAGAGGACAAGACTTGAAAGGGATTAATCGTGCCGGTAAAAAAAAGAAAGGGATTAATGTTGCCATGCATTTAATATGTACAGTTATAAATAAATTAAGGCATTGAATGGTGTTGGACTTGGAATTCCCGGACCCTGCTTCCCCACCGTCCGCAGCCTCCTGCCAGTACGATCGTTTTATTGATAATTACTCCTCGTCGTACTTATGCGTGTATTTATATTCATTAGATAATTTCAGCAAACTTTATATAAATTAAGAAAACTTTTAAACTGTGCTAACTTTTTTCTAAAATATAATAACTTGTCAATTTTATTTCTATTTAATATATATATATTTTAAAAAAATCATCTACACTATAATAAATTAAGAACAAAATATTACATTCACACTAAAAATTTAATGAGGTAATTTATAAATAAAAAATCTTTTTTGGTGTCTTATAAATGGGATCAGAAGAATAGTATAAATTAAAAAGGTGTTTAGATGGAACCAAATCATAATTTTAAAAATGATTTTACAATATACAAAGTAAGTATATGAAAGAAGTTTTATCTTCACTTGCATAAAAATACTTTTTTTACGTGTTTTTTGGATAAACCAAACACCCACTTATAAGTATGTTGCGTGCCTTTATTTTTTAGCTATTTTCTAAAATCATCTGTCATGTTTGTATTTCTTTAATATTAAATTTATAAGTCACTTTTAACATATTTTATACGAATAAAAAAATAAAATTTTATTAATTCTGCTTTAAAATTCAACAAATCTCAAGCATTATTCTTATTTAATGCATATTATATCTTAAATAATAAATACAAGGTAAGATTGTGTATTTATATAAAAAATTTCTCCCTCTACTATACAAATAGGTCCAAAAAAATCCCTTCTCCGCATTATAAATAAAATTAAAAGAGTATATACTCACTCTAATTCATAATATTAAAGTTAGATTATTAATTTGAAGATAATAGAGAAAATTACTCAAATTAGTTATTTATAACAATTGTTTATCACCCTATTAATATAAGTCACTTAGCTTGTAACACGTTCTCGTATAACAAGAAATGCGTTAAATTGATAAAAAAATTTAATTTTACCTCTCTATCTATATCTATAGATTATTCTCACATATTTCCCGTCTTTCTCTCTTTCTAATAAAAATTAAATAAAGGTAAAATTAAAAAAAATAAATATATTACAAGTAACTTTCATTTAGAGCTAGAGTGGTATTAAATTTCCTGCACCCTTTTCTAATCATGTGCATTGTAATTATCCCTTATTATATGCCCAATAGGATACTTTGGAGAGAAAAATAATAAATTTGAGTGGCAAAATAAATTGAAGTCTTATATTTAAGATCCAAGTAAATTCCTTATATCCCATAAAAACAAAGTCCATACAATAATAAATGAAAGATAAAATTATGTATTCATATAAAAAATCTCATCCTACCCTATAAAGAGGGAAAAAATCCTTTCTCTTTCTACCTTATAAATGAATTGATTTGGAATTACTGAAATTTGAGACTCTTAATTATCATTTCAAAATTTTTGAGCTGCATTACTTTTTCTCTAAATTTTTTTGGTGGGCTCTATTTTTTCTACTTTCTTAGTTGATTTTTTTTTTGCCTTATTTTCTTAATTGATTCATACTAATTCTTTTTCCATTTTCAAAATTTAAATTTTGATCCTGATGGCTAATAAAAGGAAAAAGAGGGGGAAATGGGAAGGGCAAAGAAGGGAACAGCTTCCACCCCCTGTTCCTGAGTCTAGGGAGCGAGGTTTCCTCTTCCCATCACTAAAAGCCCATTTGGTTTAAAAAATTCATTGGAATTGAAATAAGTGGAAAAGAATGAAAAGGAAGAGAAAAGAAAATTGTCCACTGAGTAAGTGTTTAGCTGTCACTAGAATTAAAAATTGTTTGAATGAAAAATTTATGTTTGGTTGGATGAAAAGAGGTGAAAAAGTAAACAAAATGATCATATTGCCCTTAATAACATAATTTAATAATATCTATGTGAGTTTAGAAAAGCAAACCCATCTCTTCAGTCCAACCAATGCTCCCTGTTTGTGTGGCAAGAAGAAGAGCAAAATAGGTGCAAAATATTGCCCTTAATGACATAATTCTTTTTTGTGGTTTTGATAATGCAGATGTATGTTACAAGTAATAAGGCTTGTGTGTGGACGGATGATGAGGAGTCGACTCTTGTGTTAATTCTCTGTGATATGTGACTTGGGGAAATGTTCATGAGATGGCCAAGATACATGCCAGGTTAGTTGGTGTATATTGAAAATAAGATGGAAGAAATGCTGTCAAGATGTGAGTTGAAGGGAAGCACTGACATACTCCCTCGCATAAGGAGCTTGAAGAGAGACTGGTCCGTTGTGGCCAATATGCTTTATGGGTATCCCCACAATGGATTTAGATAGAATCATATCACCAAGTATGTCATCGGCGATGAAGATGCGTGCGATGCGTATGTTTAACTAATGGGTTTATTTGAGCAGACACAATTTCTGTGTGCATATTGTGGCATGATTGAATAATAATTTGGTAATTTATTGATTTACAAGTGAATAGAGCGGCTGCAAAGTTCAGAAACAGGCCTTTCCCCTACTTTGTCAACCTATGCGTCACTTGGAGAGATTAATACATTGCCTGACAAAAGAGGAATTGTCATGGAATGATAGTTCTATTTTGTGATGTAAAATGTGTGAAATTTTATGTGGAAGAAAGAGAACATTGGCTAATGTATTAGAATGTTGAAGTGACGTTGTAATTTATTTTGGGAGAATGAAGTTTGATGAACTCATGTTGTAATGAAGTTTGTCGCATTAATGTTACAAAATTGTTAGCTAAATTTTCTAACTATGCATATTCAATTGGCATTATATTCCTAAGTAAATTTCTTCAGTGCGTTATTGAGAAAGTTCTTTTCAATATTGTTATCCCCAAACTTTTACATTTAAAATCTTTAAGCATATTTTCGATAAAGTCTTTGTAAACACATTGTATTAATGTTTTGGTAAGGAATCTTTAGTTGATAGAAAAGATTTCTCAAATACGTATTTAAGAATTTCAATTCTCAAGTATGTATTAGAAAT